CCATGTCCGGTGAGGACCTGCGTCAGGCGGTAGGTGAGGACGCCGTAGCGTCTCTCAAGCCACTCCTCAAAGAGGGGACTTACCGCTGCGATGGCAGCGAGCCCAGCCCTCGGTTGCGACAGTCGTTGCTGCCATTCCGCCATGAGATCGCGCCGGAGCTCATCCCGCCACGCACTTATCTGGCGCGGCAGCGGAGTTTCGCCCCGGCGACGTGCCTCCGCGCGCATGCTGTACACGCGCGCGAGCACCTTCGCCTCCAGATCCCACGGCGGTAATCCGGCAAGGAGGTACGCCGACTCCCCGGAGATCGTGCGGTATCCGCGGATCATTCGGATCGCCATGACCTTCTGTGACATGAGCAGCGTCCGAGCGGGACACCGCAGCATGTTCGGCGCCCACACAGGGGCGCCGTAGAGGCCCATCTTTACTTCGGACTTCAAACCAATGACCAAACGAAACCAATTTTCCAAAGATGTCGTTTCGAGTACTATACCTACTGAATTGCGTGTTGTAATATTTTACTTGAACTCACTAAATTAATCTTATATTCTGATAGAGTGAACCGATTTCGATAAAACAAAAACTAAGTTATACCTCAAGTTGCGTAGAATTTTTGCATATAAGCAATGTCTGCATTGAATTTGTGGATTTTACGTGATGCGCGCACAAACAAACAGACAAACAGACAAAAATTTCAAAAATGATGGAAATGGGTTCTGTTGGTTATCTTTTAACACGCTGGCTATTTTATTTGTCAATTTCTTCAATGTACAAAAATTACTTTTCTACAGATTTATTATAATAATATGTATAGATATTTGGTCCGTCAAAAAATGACATTCTTTTCCAAACAGATTCTGGGCATTTGGCCCAGAATTAATGATTCCATAATACTGAAGCACTATTCAGGATAACGTATGCACAAATACAGAGGAAAATATAAAAAAAACTGTAGTAGCATGAGTTCAAAGACTAGCACAGAGTGTACTTTATCGTGGATAACACATATTTCATTGTAATTTAAAAACTGCCCCAGACTTGGATTTTTTTTATATTTTTCTGATAACTGTTGGAACCTTGCCTATCACCTGGAGCTATTTGATTGTCGACTACAGGGACACCCTGTATATAAGCACCTATGAGAACCAAATCATCATGCTTGCTCAACGCGGTTTGGCGGTTCGAACTCAATAATTTGAAGTATAGGTTTTCTTCCAGGTTTCCCCACGATGTTTTCCATTAGTGGTGTCAGTGTGTCTAAATAATCTTAGAAAGTACATATCCGGGTCACCATTCCTGCTTAGCTTATCTTTTACTCGCATAAAAATCTACTGAAAGGGTTATTAGCTCAACTTTTATTTAATTTTTAAACCTGACCAGGATATTAACAGGCTTTTTTCGAAGATTAGTGCGTGATTCATAAAAAATGAGTCAGTGGGACAACGGTAACGGAACGGCTTTCCAAAGCTATCATTATAACCATTCTTTTGAAAGTACTTACTAACCTGTACTACAAATGGATATTGTTCTATCGTAGTAGGTGCGCCTCCGATAATTCGGTTATTTGAAGCCTTTGGCAATTCCACTGGCGTGATGTAGTACTTTTCCTCTGCATGACCTGAGAAATAGTATACCTTTTTTGTCGCGCGGTGTTCCACAGGGTTCGGTTTTGGGACCGTGCCTGTGGAACATCAGCTACAACTGAGTCACGCGCACCGAGCTCCCGAACGGTGTCAGCGTGGTACTACGCTGAAGCGAGCACACCTAGCAGAAATAATTAAAAGAAGTTTCGGTCAATCTCGAATTCAGGGTCCTGCAAGCGTAACGAATTGTAACACACCATTTTGGTTGTGTTTTTACCTCTAAACATATGAGAACGTATAATATAGGAATTAGTTGGCCGCTAGTACGTACGGTGTCATGGATCTCTCCTACCCACTCACTCCACTATGTGCTCAGTAAATTGTTCTGCACAATATTTTGAAACCGAACAGCTCAGCACTTTTGCCAGCATGCATATCAATCACGTAACTTTATTCGAACCCTCTTACTGCTACATTATCTTAGATTTACCATTTCTTGATTTCACTAGCTCGATATAATCATTAAACCATGTTTTGGCGTAAAGTATATTAAACTATAGTTAGTGTTCATAAACTAGTAATCTAACTAGTAATCAAACCATTTCGATAAAACCAGCCATATCACCCAAGCCAAGATCTTAGTGCGAAACCAATTAAACATTAATTTCTACAACAATCGTAAGTTTTTGATTGATTTGAACGAAGTCGCGGGCAATTGACATCTGATAGAATACCCTTTTTTTTAAGGGGGAAAATCATCGAATGACTGCTCCCGCCTAGGTGAGGCGGGAGGGAGTGTCAGACTCTTACTGACTAAAAACCACCCCGTTCCTTTTCCTGCACGTCGAGTCGGAGCCCCGGTAACCCGTTAGGTTCTCCGCGACTATTATTATGTATAGGAACTTAAAAGTAACTGTAGCAATCTAGCATCAAACAGTGTCAACTTATGACATGACAATTACATTATTTCGCAATTTTTTGATAATTTATTCCCCCATTCATAATACAACCGCGGTAAGGTTAAATTACCTTACCTGAGACTCTATAACCTTACTGGACCAATATCACTGTTTACACTTTCAAAATAGTACAACAAGCTATGCTTTTTATGTCACCATTATTTATATGTACAATGAATGAAACTTACAGCCCATTGCAACAAATAATAAAATTTTACACCACATTTTCAGTAAAAATATATAATTATTACTATAGGGTTTTGACAAATAAATGACGGAACTAAATTGCGATTTTTTCTTGTTATTTTTTCGTCAGACGAATAATCGCAATCGCGACTGTCTGAATATATTTTTATCCACCCTCAGTCTTCTTGCACGTGTCGTAAGAGCCTTTCAAGAGACTATATCATGCCAAAGACCGGACAGAAGAGACCTCTAATATAATTGAACTATTCGAACTATAATCTCACAATGCATGCAGGCATGCAATAAATTGAGGTTACGCGCGTCACCTACGCCAGATTCCTTTTCTGTTTGTATATTTTCCAGGTATAAGCTGCCCGGGAGTGGTTTTGGGATTCGACGCTCTACTCGAGTATATGCCCCTGTATATTGTGCTGAGAGCACTCGTCACATCAATGGGGTTTCACAGCAATTCTTTGGTTACGGGTGTCATAAACATATGTAAGTCAGCTGTAAATAAGAGGGAAATAGGGAAGAGGTAGTCGCGATCAATAAGAAGGAAGGGAAGAGGTTGACGGACTACCCAGAGAACACCGTGGAGCATACGGGATCGATGTAACTAAGAAGCCGTTTCTCCTTTAGCGAAGCAGTCATGCTGGCTAAGGAGGTAGCGGAACGCTTGAGAAAACGAATTGGAACAGGGTGGTTTTTAAGAGTTATTAAGAGTGTAACATGTACTCTTGCCTACGCCTATGTACTCTTGTTGCATAAAGTTAAATAAATAAAAATAAAAATAACAATCCTTCACCTCTCACCAATGGTGGGAGTAGAGATTCAATGATTTTCTCTCTCAAAAAGGCGTGGCAATTTTATCAAAGCCAACATATAATTTTAAAATGCCCATAATACAGTACGGGACAGTCGTGAGCTGTCGATGACAAAAGTTTCATCACATAGCAAGACACATGACAGGGAATAAAAAAATCGTATAATCGCAAGCAATCTTAGCCTTACATCATTCAATCCTTACAATGATTCTTTACGTAAAATCTATGTGGCTACGACCGCTTTATTGTAAGTATCTAGTGCTGTTCACTCATATGTGTGTTATTACCTCTATTATCTAACAGTGTCTATTGTTGAACCAATAAAACTATAGCCAGGGTATAACTAGCTGGCTAGGATATTAACTTTAAGTACCGACGTGTAGTCTGACAGTCACTTTGAGAGTTCGAGTGTTAGCGAAGTGGTACCCCCTCTCGCTTCTCTCTACCTCTACCCCTCGGGCAGTCGCCTGGGAGTGTTCGTGGTAAGTGGCTGTATCGCCGCGTGCGATTACGGTGAGTTATGATTTTTTTTTTAAATCACGAGTGGTCTTCGTAACTTTTATAGATATGACTTTTTGTAGATTATATCGCTTTTCTATTTTATTTTCAGTCAGTTATAAAAATCGACGTACCAGGTACTTCGGGCATACAATGGGCAGCCACAGATGCAAAAAAAGTGTTTCTGCTAGAAAGAAAAAATATTAAACAAGGCTCCAACCATAGTTGGTTAATATTTTATTATTTTATTTGTTATAGTTCATAGTTAATATTTTATTTGACCATGAAGAAATTTTATCGGAATGGCTCAATGAGAGTTCAGAGTCCGACTGTGACGATTTCGATCCGAATTTTGTTACGTTGGAGACCCTGGTTCCGCAACCGGAGGAGGAGGAAGGGTCTGAAGGCAAAGGAACTATGTGACCTTGTATGAAATACGTGTGCTTACAATGCAGCAAACCTATATGCAACGAGTGTTTGTGAACTATGATAGTTCTTACAATTTGGTGCCTTGTGATTTTGAAAAATACTTTTGATTATGTGTTAAACTTTTATGTTTATTGTTACTTAAACTTTTATGTTTATGTAACAATAAACATAAAATCCTCCGCGCGGACGTTGACGCGAATGGACGTACTTCAAAAAGTTCCGCGTTCAAAATTAATAAAATAATGTAATTTTTTTT